TTAATTCTCTCAAGGTATTGATTGTTAATTGATCGTTCGACATTGTTTTATTACAAAATAGGATATATTCAAAAGGTCAACCACACGAAAAAATATTGGTAATAATCGCGTTAACACGCCTTTGTTTTATTGATTGTAATAAAAATCAAAAATAATCAAATCTATTATTTATATACTATTGCCTACACTATAAGTTTTCGTTTGTCTAAACTATCTATATTAATACATTATCTCAATATTAATTATAATCTGGTTTCGTTTGTTATCGATATCTGAATAGAATAAAAATAGTTATTAGTTATATCTGTACGAAACATGCGGGGTCAAAAATGAATTAACAATGTTAACCTTAGCAAAAACCTGCTGAAAGTTTATGTTGCCTGCCTTCTGCGATGCTAATAAACCTGTACGAAAGAATAGTCTTTAGTCGCAAGCCCAGAATCAATTTATTGAAATGCACTGTCACAACCGAAATATTCACACCTTAATTACGTGTTTGGAACTTTCGCCAAAAAATAAATTATTGATCGTTATTTCTGATTGCAGGTTCTGATATACACACATTAACATTTGGACTAGCTTTAAAGAAATTTTCGATAAGGCTATGGTCGAAAGAACCTTACTTTTGATGAAATATGTTATGGTGGGGGCAATGTATTCGTAAATTTGGAGGGAATATCAGGTAAGCAACAATTAAAAAGTAGCCGTTGTAATAGTACTAATAGATGATATGGAGGAGGGAAAGGAACGCCACAACGTTGATAATCGCTTATCGTCTAATCGATCTGTTGTACTTAACTTGTTTAATCACAACGTCACGCGACGCGCACCGATGGATTTTTACAAACTTAACGAGATTGAAGACTGGGCGTGTATAAAGGTTGTAAAGTATTACCGTGCGAACTCGGGACAAAAAACTTGGACAAAAGTACTTGACAAAATAAAAAAGGATCTCCAAATTGTGGCATCAGACCCAACCTTTGACGCGAGACGCAAAAGAAAAGCTCAGGAAATTATAGACAGCTGGAAGGTATAATTATGTTGAACAATTTAGGAAAACTGACTTTTTATTATTAGTTTTGAACGATTAGGGAAAAGCTGTGACTGTTAGTCCACAGTTATGAACTGCTAGTTCTTCCAGCGCAAGCTGTGACTGTTAGTCTATAGTGATGAACTGTTAGTTCGACGCTTAAGCGCAAGCTGTGACTCTAGTCTACAGTGATGAACTGTTAGTTCGACGCTTAGTTTTATACAATGTCTCTTTATGGATGCTACTGATTCTGCATTTTCATTTTCATTAAGATTTGGACCTCCTCGATGAAAAGGGATAGTTCGCAGTACAATCTTAAGTATCAGCAGGTGAGCTTCGGGTCTGAAATTTGATAGATAAAAAAAAATATATAAGTAATATTTTTTATTAGGTAGAGCAACAAGTGCTTGCGACTGGAAATGCTGTGTCTGTCGATAATCGTCGTATAACCGAAAAACGTCGGCAAGAAGATCAAGATGATAGAGAGGAAACATTGGACGAAAGAAATAAAACTCCATTGACACAGAAGAAAAAGGTGAGATCAAGCGACTTTATTAACGTATTACTTCCTTCACAATGAATAACTAAACATTGACAATTATATATGATAAAAAATTTTGCCGTTCTGTCTTATAAATCAAGTGCAAAACTGAATCCGAAAAAAGAACGAGAAGCGGGAGAGTTGCTGTACCTGATTATTGTGAATTGGTTGAAGAAGCAACAACAGACGAGGATGAACAGGATTCTGCAGATCAAGAAAACAAAGAGGAAGCAGAAACTGAGAAGGGATTAGAATCTCAAGAATGTGACGTGAAAAAAACTATTCCAAATGATGTTGTAAGTAATTATTTAATAATACATTCTAAACCAACGGATTTTAACTTTTGATTATTTCTACCAGACAACAGACATTTTAGGGAATTCCGTTGAATACTCGGATACAACAAAAAATATTTTTTCGTTTTATAAAGAACAATTCCCCGATGGCGATTTAATTGACCTCCGGCTGAATTCACCCTTTCTTAAAAAACTTCAAAAACCAATAGCAACATCATATTTGACGGAAATGGATAATATGACAGAATTATTGGTTCCCACAAATGTTCATGAATTTCTTGTAAATTTTTTTTCACAAAGCTTATCAGCCAAAGAGTGGAATTACCGAATCGATGATTTAAGAGCACCAGATAAGGATGATTTCATAATGAATGCAGTTGTTCGGGTCTTACGTCGAACATTGCCAGCATTGTATGTAACATTGTGTTATTGATTTGTTTTTTCAGACTCTGTTCTAAGTATTTCTTTTCTTATAGCATTAAAGCATTTTCACTTGAAGAGCAAAACCCGCTTTTCAATGTTACTACCATAGAACATGCTCATCTTAACGCTTTCGTTCATCCATGTCTTGATGCCTTTTTGTGGTACATTGCTGACATACATTATGAATATGGTGAGATAACGTCAAAAAATCATATTAATGGTAACCGTGCGGACAGAGCTGGGTACATGACGGATGCTGATAAATATCAGCTCATATATATGGAGGGCTCCAGACCAGTGGCGAAGGATAAAAAGGAAATTGATGATGTCAAAAAAATAACAAAAAATTTAAAGTATATGTTCGCGAAAATTGTTGAAGAAACAATCAAAAGTAGGCAACGATTGCCAAAGAAGTTGTATGTATTTGGCGGACAGAGTTTTCGCCTTAGAATATACTTATATTTTCTTGATTATTGCGGTATGTGTTTTTGCTCTATTGAAAAATTTACACTGTAAGAGGATACTAATTATCTGCTACTAAATATTAATTCAGGAACGTATAGACTAAATGAGGTTGATAATGCCAATCTTCCTCGAAAATTTTCTGAAATGAAATCTTTCATTTATTTCTATGAATCTGTATTGAAATGGGCGGTATGTGCTAATGTGGGTTTTATTATGAAATTTACGAAATTAAACTTCTATCTAATCCTTATTTATAAATTTAGTTACTGGTACGTGATGTTACAGCATCTTTTGATAATGCAAGAGCTGAGCAAAGACCATCACGACTTTCATTTGCAGATGCTCTCCTTCGACTGGGCGACTGATCTTTTGGGTGTAAAATGGATGCAATAGCTGGCATCTTGAAAATATGAATTGTAAATATAATAAAATCACGTGTGCGTTACAATTTGTAACGCCGATCACTTTTAC